CCCCGGCCTTCACCACACTATTGTCTGTGTCCATGGGTTATGCATGCAGTTTGTTTATTTTATTGGTCTTTTCAAATATTGAATTTCTTTATCAATGCTGTTGCTTTTCTGTCTTTTATTTCATTAATTTTTGTTTTTATCATTATTTTAAAATTCCTGCTTTCTGTGTTTGGCTGTGGATGGTTTTTCTTGCTTCTAGAGTACATTGCTTATTTCTTTGATTTCTACTCCTTGTTTAGCAATAAAAACATGTAAAGCTGGAATCGCTCTCTCAGTGCTTAACATTTAATTAATATAAAGTAAGGGTCAACAAACTAAGGTTATGGAACAAACCAGTCTGCTGCCTGTTTTGGTAAATAAAGTTTTATTGGAACATATCTGTATTCATTCATGTGTCCAATATATATATGGTTGCTGTCACATGGCAGAACTCTGTTGCAAGAGAGACGTGTTCTACAAAGCCTAAAATACTCTGTGGCCCTTTACACAAAAAGTTTGCTGACTTCTGATTCAAAGCATTCCATAGTTTTTGACAGATAATTTTATCATTAATTTTATTTTTAAAATAGTATAATTATAGTCCCCAAAAGTTATCTAGGAAAGTGTCTTAATTTCCAGGTAGTTCAAATTTTCTTGTTTATAGCTTTGTTAATTTCTAGTTTTATTTCATTTGGCCACAGAATGTTGGCTTCACAACTTCTTCTTTTTCTTTTAAAAAATTTTAAAAATTATTTATTTTTAAAAATATATTTAATCAGACTTCTCCTTAATAAAATATACCATTACCGATGTCCCCCTTTTAACCCCACTGATCCCCTCCACCCCACATCCATCCCACACCCAGGCCCTCCCCACACCAATGTCCCCGTCCATGGGCCATGCCCATAAACATGCAAGTTCCCTGATTAATCTCTCCCCACCCACAGCCCCGTTCTCGCCTTCCCTCTGAGATCCCTCAGTTTGTTCCAAGCTTCTATGTCTTTGGATCCACTTTGTTCATCAGTTTATTTTGTTTATTATATTCCACATATAAGTGAGATCCTGTGGTACTTGTCCTTCTCTGACTGGCTCATTTCACTTAGCATAATACTCCCTAGTTCCCTCCATGCTGTGCCAAAGGCCAAAACGTCCTTCCTCTTCACAGCTGCATAGTACTCCATGGTGTAAATGTGCCACAGCTTTTTTATCCACTCATCTACTGATGGGCACTTGGGCTGTTTCCAGATCTTAGCTATTGTGAATTGCACTGCTATGAACATAGAGGTGCATAAGCTCTTTGTGATTGGTGTTTGGGGTTCCTTAGGATATATTCTTAGAAGTGGGATCACTGGGTCAAATAGCAGGTCAATTTTTAATCTTTTGAGGAAACTCCACACTGCTTTCCATAGTGGCTGCACCAGTCTGCATTCCCACCAGCAGTGTACTAGGGGGCCCTTTTCTCCACACCCTCGCCAGCACTTGTCATTCATTGATTTGTTGATAGTAGCCATTCTGACAGGTGTGAAGTGATACCTCATTGTGGTTTTAATTTGCATCTCTCTGATGATTAGCGACGTTGAGCATTTTTTCATGTCTCTTAGCCATTTGTATGTCCCCTTTGGAGAAGTGTCTATTTAGGTCTATTGCCCATTTTTTAATTGGATTGTTTGTCTTCCTTTTGTTAAGTTGTATGAGTTCCTTATATATTTTGGATATTAACCCTTTATCCAATGTGTCCTTGGCAAATATGTTCTCCCATACAGTGGGCTCCCTTTTTGTTTTGTTGATGGTTGCTTTTGCTGTGCAGAAGCTTTTTATTTAGATGCAGTCCCATTTGTTTATTTTCTCCTTAGTTTCTCTTGCCCTATGAGATGTATCAGCAAACATATTGCTATGAGAGATGTCTGAGATTTTACTGCCTATGTTTTCCTCTAGGATTTTTATGGGCTCATGCCTTACATTTAAGTCTTTTATCCATTTTGAATTTACTTTTGTTTATAGTGTAAGGTGGTGGTCCAGTTTCATTTTTTTGCATGTATCTTTCCAATTTTCCCAACACCATTTATTGAAGTGACTGTCTTTACTCCAATGTATGTTCTTGCCTCCTTTATCAAATATTAATTGACCATAATGGTGTGGGTCAATTTCTGGGTTCTCTGTTCTGTTCCACTGATCTATATGTCTGTTCTTGTGCCAGTACCAGGCTGTTTTGATTACAGTGGCTTTGTAGTATAACTTGATATCTGGTATTGTGATCCCTCCAACTTTGTTTTTCTTTCTCAAGATTGCCATGGCTATTTAAGGTGCTTTTTGTTCTTTTCTTTTTAAAAAGATTTACTGAGATTTTCTTTTATGGCCTAAAAGTTATGACCAATTTTTTGTTAGTGTTCCAAAGACATTGAAAAATGATGTGTATTCTCTGTAGAAAACCAAGTTTGTATCATTGACCTGCTCATTCATTATTTTATTTGAATCCTAATTATTTATTTGCTTGTTGTCTATTTAAAGATTGAGAACTCAAGATAAAGCTGACTGTGGTTTTTGTTTCTTCTTGTATTTCCAACAGTTCTAGTGTGGTTTATTTGATGCTAAGTTACTTATAAACATTCTCCGTGCAAACATGGCAGAAGAACAGACTGGAAAGCACCTGTTCACTGGGGCTTGTTCTTTGGCTGCTCTGGGGACTCCAGCCACCACTGCCACATAGACAAGCCCTGGCTTACTGCTGATTGATGAGATACACATGGCTTAATTCCTGCTGTTGGCCCTGCTGACAGTCAGCCAGCCTCCGTTGTAAAACCATGGCATCAGATCACAAATGAACAGTGAGCCCAGCTGAGACCATCAGAAGAATTGCCTCGGTGAGTCCAAACCAATAGAATAGTGAGCTAGATAAATGGTTGTTGCTTCAGGCTACTAAGTTCTGCATGACTGGCTACATACAAAGACTAACATGTTCACTGTGAATTTTACCTTTCATCAATATAAACTAGCTCTCTTTGTCCAATGAAAAACCTTCCCATGTGCCTATTTTAACCATACTATTTTGCTTTTTGAAATTTATATATTTTTGTTTCTATATAATGTGTACAACATGTTGATTTGATTACATATACACGGTGAAATGATTTACTATAGTCAAGCTAATTAACATATCATCTCATATAGTTATCTTTTTTTTTTTTTATTGTGATGAGTGCACCTGAAATTTACATTGTGTCTGGGATCTGAGGATCTCAGTCCTACAGCCACAAGTAACTGAATTCTGACAATAACCAGTGATTTTGGAAGAAGATCCCAAGCCTCAGATAAGATCACAGTTCTGGCTAACACCTTGGTTTAGCCTGATATGACCCTGAGCAGAGGACCCAGCTAACCTATGCCAAGATACCTGACCCATGGAAATTGTGAGATAGTGTGTGTTGTTTTAGGCAACTAAGTTTGTGGTATTTTTGACACAGCAATAGAAAGTAATTACACCTCCATATTTCTAAATAATGTGCTTATGTTGCCGTTTATGTAATTATTGATTTTAAGCATCCTACTTCCTTCTTCCTCTGATGGGTGAAGAGTTAGTTCCCTTACAGCACTTGTTCTCTCCCTGTTTTTACTTCATTAGAGTTTTAACAATAGGCTGACCAGGCTACATGATTTCATCTTTGTTCCAAGAGTGAGTCTTAACAGAGCTTTGTAGCTCAAGGCCTTCTTAGTTTTATCTTTTATTGGTTGGCGATGAGAAACAGTTCTATTTTCTAACCTACAAATCCTGGAATTTATGGCCTCTCCAAACTCTTTCAATTCTGCTTGCAAAATGGCCATTTCTTCTGTGAGCTTATTTCTTTCTTATTGTGCCTTGTCAAACACAGCCATTATCCAATACCCAATGTTACCAACATTCTGCCTTCCCACTTCGCTAAAACCATAAGTTTGTTAGTTACACTCTCTGCCTTCTAGGTTATCACAGGTGATAGTTTTATCAAATGCCTCACTGTTGCATAAAAAACCTTTCATGTCAGTTTTCTCGCCACATGCCACTCTGTCCCAAGGACCACACACATGTTTTGTGTTTTATTATGGTGGCATCTCACTTCTGGTGTCAGTCTGAGTTGTTCAGCTCTTCTACCATGAAAACCAACACCAAAATCGAACAACCAGCATGTGGCTGACAGTGACAAGGGTTTATCTCTGTGGGCTTGCTGTGGGTCTGCTCCATGGTTCTTCAATTCCAGGATCCAGGCCAAAAGAACAACCCCTAACTTAGTACATGGTGGTTTTAGCAATGAATCTTAAAACTTCTGTTGAAAAAGTCACATGGTACACCTGCTCATATTTTATTGGCCAAAATAAGTCACTTGCCAAGCTTGTTATCAATGGGTCAGTCGTGTGTAACACCCCCTCAGGGTGGGGGTAGCAATGAACATATATACCTGGACATCATAGTCAGCATTAATAGACTGAGAGAGGTATTTGTAAAACACACAACCAATGAATGATTAGTTCTTAGAGTATTTAAGGAGTACCTGTAAGTCAATAAGAAATAAGGCAGGAAACCAATAGAAATATGGCAAAGGGCCGTTCACAGGGGGAAAAGCTAAATTCTTGTAAGCATATGGAGAAATGCTAAATCTCAGTAGTAGTCAGAGAAATGCATTAAATCAAGATCCACTCAACTGTCAAAAAGTAGAGTTGGGAAATATCAAGTATTGACTTAAATGTGGGTAGCTCTTTGAGTACTGTGGGTGAGACTGTAGGCTGGGGCAGCTATTTTGGAGAGTAATTGGGGAGGAATAAGAATGGCATAGGCTGAGTGAAATGATGACTGTGTTCTGGACTTGAAAGATCTAGCTTTCTGAGATGATCATCACATCCTCTTTCCATATCCCCCCCCCTCCCCATTCAGTCCTTGGGTTGTGAGCAGAATCCTATTTCACCAGACTATAAGATCTGAGAGGGTGGTACCATGTTGTATACAGTGCTTAGCACAGGTGGACACTTAGTATATGTTTGGTAAGTAAATGCATGTTTTAAAAAATGCATTTAAACCTAGTGACTTGCCTCCTATAGGGCAGGAAGGTGTGGATTGACCAGCATATATGTGTATTGTCTGAGTATTCCTTAGGAATATGCTTTGGACCTTGTGTTCCCCCTCCCCACTCTTCCAATTTATATGTTAAAGCCCTAACCTCCAATGTGAGTTTTTAAAGATGGGGTCTTTGAGGAGGTAATGAAGGTTAAATGGAGTTGCAAGGGCAGGGCCCTAATCCGATAGGGCTGGTGCCCTTATAAGCAGAGGAAGAGAAGAGATCTTGCTTTTCATGGTTGTACAGAGATGAGACCATGTGAGGACAGAGTGAGAAGGTGGCCATCTACAAGCCAGGAAGAAAGCTCTCACCAGAAACCTTGACAACACTTTGTTCTTGGATTTCCAGCCTCCAGAACTGTGAGAAAATAAGTTTCTATTGTTTTAGCCACCCAGTCTGTGGTATTTTGTCATGGCAGCTAAGCTAATATGGGATCCAATTTATCATCTGATATAAACCTTTATCAATTGGTTTAATTTGCACTTCCATACAGTGACTCATACAAGGACAGAAAAACATCAATCTGCTCAGGTCTTGCCTATTGACCATAACCTGCTAAAATAAATATATGTTATGGGAATCTTTCTATTTGAGGTGGATGGGGACTTTGATAACACAAAGCCTACCAACTAGCTTCAAGCAATAGTTTGAAATGTGTCATGAGCAATGGAGCATCTATGAAAGAAGTCACTTACACATGTTTGTGTCTTTCCACAATGCCAAGTTTATTAGGGGAGGCCTCCCCAATAAGCCAAGACAGTCACATGTAGGTTACACACAGAGAGGGGAAGCTTATGTGATAGAAGTGAGCAGAGTGAGCATCCAGCACAAAGTCCTGGTCACTGGAGGTGTCCACAGGTGGAGAGGCAGGCATTGGTCTCAAGCCAGGCGGCCATAGTGGGGCATGCTTCCAGTGTATGGGAAGCCTGGCAGGCCCCTGAGCATAACCTGTGGTACAGTCAAGCTTGAGCATTGGGTGGTTGGAGCCCTGAGGTTTTATAGCCCACACAGGGTGGAGGTCCCACTCATATAGGTGTCCAGATGGAGTCCTTATCCAAGTGTCCAGACTTGTGGTTTGGGGTGTTCTGGGCCCCTTCTAAGGGCATTTCCATTATACCCCATTACCTTAGTCTTGACATAACATGTGACATAACTGTTATGGCTGATAGTAACTCCATATTGGATTGTCAAAGGTCTCCAAAAAATCCGCTCGGCTCGTGCTCTATACAAAATGGTTCAATAATTTTAACGTATGTAGTTCTTTCTGAGCTGATAGGGAATTTTCAGGTCACCTATTTCTTGTTGGTTTGAGGCATGGGACAGAAATTGGGTCACAAGGGTGGGAAAACCAGGTTCACAATGGAGGGTCCACCTGGACAGACCACCCAAGATGGAGGAAGAGAACATGATGGCTTTTAGAGCATGTGGTCCTACCCATGGTTGGGAGGTAGATTTGTTGTCTTTTAAGTGCTTTTCTATATATGATTTTAATTGATCTTCCCAAAATCCCAGTAAAGGTGTTGGGGCAGGTGGTATCTTCTCTATACTAGTTAGCTTTTGCTGTGTAACAATCAACTCTGAGTTATTGATTCTCATAGATGGTTCAGCTGAGTGGCTTTGCTCATCTCTGCTGCATTTACTCACATGGAGTGGAAGTTGTTTTAACTTGGTTGGAGAGATTTTGCTGGGACACTTGGCTCCGGTCACATGCCTCTCGTCATCTTCAGGGGGCTTGCCCAGGCATGTCCCTTCCATGGTGATGGCAGAAGCTCATGAAAGCAAGCAGAAATGGGCCAGGCTTCTTGGCCTAGATTTGGACCCAATGAACTCTTATTTCTGTTGACCAGAGTCACATGGCTAAGTCTAGTGTCAGAGTGGGAGAGAATTACCAAGTTACTTGGCAAAAAGTGAGGCTACAAGAGGGGTGAAGAGGGCCATTTGTGCATGAACAGCACCCCATTTTATAAGAATGGAAACAAAGGCTTAGAGATGGAGTGACTTCCTCAAGGTCTACAGCTCCTTGGTGGTCAAGTTGGGATGAAAACCTCTGTCACTCATCTATCTAATGTGTTCTTAAGTTACAAATATTATCCATATGGGAATGGTGGTTTCATTATAGTTCAGTTACGATGCCTAGAGGCAGTGAGCACTTGAATAAATTCTCTGGAAAATAGATTCAATTTTTAAAAAAGTCTTGGCTGTCAAAATCTGATTTCTTGGTTGAATGAAATGGCTTTGTTATTCAGATCCTTTGGGTCTAAATTTATTTTACATGAATTTATTTAAGAAATTGATTAAAACTCCATCTCTATTTGGTGCTATAGGTGGTATAATTGGAAGCTTAGAGAAAAAAGACTGAAATGGCTTTAAACAATTCGTATACCCCCCTACAGTGTGTAGAAGGGTAAAAAATACAGGTGATTTTAGGTAAAATAGGCTGCATTAGATTCTTTTTTAGGTCTAAGTATCTTCAATCTTTTGTAACATCAATGCCTTGGGCCTTTTATCTGTTTATTTAGAAAAGCAAGCCCAAAGGGCTTTGGCTACTTGTCATTCTTCCCCCTTTACAAGTTACAGCACACTGGCTCTAGGAGAAATTTCAGACCAAGCACTATCTTTGCCATATGTCACTCAGGATGAATCCTGCTTGTCTTTCTGTGTGTCTCTTGCTGTCAGCCATGGAGATATTGATATGGGCAAGTTTCAGGTTGTTGTCAAATATTTTTCACTCACTCAAAACCTATTAGGATCTCTACTACAGAGGAATGCCTTTGGGGATT